AATAAACGTTGAAAAAAAAAAAAAAAATGTCTGCTTAAACAAACCAAGAACCAGAGTAACCGGCCTAGAGGAGGAAAGAGATAAGGAGAAAAGGAAGGTAGAATGTATCTAAATAATAAGAATTGTCCTAGAATTAATCCAGGTAATGTAGAAGCGCTGGTCCGGAAGAGTGGTCCGTCTGGTTCCTCAGGGTCTACGCTGCTCCAGTAGACACGCACTTACCCCGTGCGGAGGGGCGTGGTTTGGTATAGGCAGGTCCCGCCTCCATGGTGAGCCCCACAGACCCATCTCTGAGGCCGGGCCTTGGTGGTGGGGAGAAAAATGGCGACGTCCCCCCCCCCCCCCCCCCCCCCCCCCCCCCCCCCCCGCCCCGCCCCCCGTCTCCTCTCCTCTGACCCGGTGGACTCCGTTGGAGTCATCCTCACTGTGCCATGGGCACAGAGGGGGCAGTCTTTCTTGCTCCACCACTTCCCGTGCCCCAGTGATTGGCTGGGATTTAAACTCCCACTCCATGCGCCCTGGCACTGGGGAAGCGCCTCTCTATGCCATCCGATATGTGGTCCTGGCTGTTTTTGTTCCATGTTGCAGCACTCCAGGGAGCGGGTCACTTTCTCCTACTGTGGACTGTGCCCCTGACCTAGCCACCGAGCATGGGGGTGGCAGAGGCAGCCAGGCTTTGTCTTGTGCTGCAGCACTTCGGGGAGGTGACTGCTTTCTCCTACTGTGACTGTGCCCCTGACCTACCACTGAACCCGGGGGTAGCTCCCCTCCTCCCCAGGTGCACGAACAGGGCAGCCAGCCCCAGTCCGAAGAAAGCCCCGCAGTTAGAGATGGGATCCCTCTCCGTCTGGGTCTGAGGTTTTTCTCTTGTCCAGATGCAGTCCTACACTTCCCCAGCCATCTTTCGCTTCCCTTTGGCTCTTCGCAGAAGGCCCCACGCGGCCCCATTTTATCTCCTCCAGTTCGCAATCACCCACCTATAGCCTGTCAGGTTGTTCCGGTGTCTCCCTGTTAGACTCAGTCTCTTTTCCTCCCCGTCTCTCAGGGTTCAAAGTCCTTTGGCTTCAGCCCTTCTTTGTTTGAGAGATGCGGGAAGTACACATCCCCCTACTTCTCCGCCATATTGGCCTGATCCTCCAAAATAATTATTTTGTAACTATTGAATAATATTTCATTTAGCATAAATATCAGAATTTATTGACCACCCCCTATTTTATTGGCGATTTTTTCTTCTGATATTTTATTATTAAAAAATTCTATTATAACTTTGTACACATAATCTTTTTCTCAAAATTATTTCCTTAGGAAAATAGGAAAATTCTAATTTTCACTCTCAAGCAAAAAATGCTACTTGAAACAATTCCCCTTTATTAAATTATCAAAAACATTCAAATTATCATGCTCATTGTTGACAACCATAGGGTGAACCTATTGGGCACTGCTAGAATCATATGAAGTGGCACAGTCCCTTGTAAGTTATTTGGTTAAATGGATCAATAGTCAAACGAATGTTCTTATTTCTGTTGGAAAGATACTTGTGATAGTGTAAGACCTGTCCCCTCAGTGGGGATTCTAGAGACATGTGGCAACTACCTTAAGTCTCTTTGTGCAACAGAACTTCTCTAGTTTGAATACATGCTTAATGTCTACTACCCCAATCTACTTACATCAATTATGCTCTTAATCTCTTTTATATAAATCTCTTCGGTCTCAAGCAAGTCACGTATAATGCGTCTGGATCACAGCAGCAGGTGGGAATATGAAAGAGAAAGAGAGGGAGGGGAGAGAGGTTTTTTTAGAATTCTTAATATTCTCAACAATACAGTTCCCTTTAGTGACTTACCTATTCAGATTGCAGTACTTCATTCTATTCTATTGGACACCCAAGGACACCCAAGGACAGCATCTCACAAAACCACACTCTAATCACACTGGCATAAGAAGAAAAAACAAGGCTAGAGGACTGTAAATCCACTTGTATAGCCAATGAATGACCTGTCTTCTGGTGAGCCATCATGTGGGGGTCAAGAAGGCAGAGATTGTGGAGTCAGAAATGCCAGGTTTGGATCCTTGGTCAGGAAAGCCTACCTGACCTCTACACTGTATGTGTGATTTCCAAGATTTTCTCTGTAGCTTTCTGCTGTTTCATTGCTCAGATCAAGGTCTTTGACCCACATGGGTGGACTTTGTTGTGCATGGGGTTAGATGGATTCCAGTTATGCTCTCTTTCTCTGGCATCTAATGTTTCAGTAGCATTGGTTTCCTCAGCCAACAGACATGACCTCTGTCTGCTTCCCTTGAGGAAAGCAGGTGGGGGTTGTGGTGGGCAGAATGCTCATCCCAGTTTCCTGACTCTGTGTGTACACACACCTCCTCCCAGTTAATTAACTGAACACTAATTTAGGTGCTGCTGTCAAGGGACTTTGCCATTCTGTTTTGTTCCAAATCAGTTAACCTTGAGATAGGTAGATTACCTGGCTGGGCTTTTCTAGTCTCATGAACTCATCAGATCTGGGTCTGGAAGTCAGAAAGACTAGAAGAATGAGAAAGATATAACACAAGGGAGGCTGTCCTTGGCTGGCTTTGGAGATGGAAGAGGCCATGTGGTAAGGAACATAGGTGGCCTCTAGGAGCTGAGAGTGGCCCCTAGTTAATAACCAGTGAGGAAACTGGGACTTGGGTCCCTCAGTTACAAGAAACTGAATTCTGCCACAACCACATCAACTTAGAAGAGGAAACTGTGCACAGCTGACTAACTGTTTTAGCTCTGTGGGACCTGAGCAAAAAGCCAGTCATGCTGTGCCTGACCTCTTGGCCCCGGAAACTGTGAGCTGCTAAGTTTGTGGTCATTTTTTACGCAGCAATAGAAAACTAATAGAAGACTGAGGCCAGTCCCCACATCTATCTCCAGAGAGACTGTTCTCTTTCTCTTCTCAGACGCTTTCTTTTTTCGGTTTTCTTTCAGGCCTCCAAGTGAGTTAGTGTTTGTACAGGTGATCATGTGTACCATATATACATTTGATCATGTGATCATGTGTACAATATATACATTTATGGTTTCCTGTGAACTGTTGGTAGGTTAATCTATTAAAAGGTAGCCTATCGGGGCGCCTGGGTGGCTCAGTCGGTTAAGCGTCCGACTTCAGCTCAGGTCATGATCTCACGGTCCGTGAGTTCGAGCCCCGCGTCGGGCTCTGGGCTGATGGCTCAGAGCCTGGAGCCTGCTTCCGATTCTGTGTCTCCCTCTCTCTCTGCCCCTCCCCCATTCATGCTCTGTCTCTCTCTGTCTCAAAAATAAAAACGTTAAAAAAAATAAATAAATAAATAAATAAATAAAAGGTAGCCGATCCCAGTTAATATCTCTGACATTAGCCATAGCAACATTTTTCTAAATGTGTCTCCTGAGGCAAGGAAAATAAAAGCAAAAATAAACCACTGGGACTATATCAAAATAAAAACCTTCTGCATAGCAAAGAAAACAATCAACAGAACTAAAAGGCAACCTACTGAATGGGAGAAGATATTTGCAAATGACATATCCTACAAAGGGTTAGTATCTAAAATACATAAAGAACTTATACAACTCAACACAAAAAACACAAATAATCCAATTAAAAATGGGCAGAAGACATGAACAAACATTCCTCCAAAGAAGGCATACAGATGGAAAACAGACACATGGAAAGATGCTCAACATCACTCATCGATAATCAGGGAAATATAAATCAAAAGTACAATAAGGTATCACCTCACACCTGCCAGAATGGCTAAAATAAAAAAGACAAGAAACAAGTGTTGGTGAAGATGTGAAGAAAAAGGAGCCCTTGTGCACTGTTGATAGAAATGCAAACTAGTACAGCCACTGTGAAAACCAGTGTGGAGTTTCCTCAAAAAATTAAAAATAGAACTACCATGTGATCCAATAATCCCACTACTGGGTATTTACCTAAAGAATATGAAAACACTAATTCAAAAATATATGCACCCCTATGTTATAGCAGCATTATTTACAATAACCAAATTATGGAAGCAGCCCAAGCGTCCATTGATAGATGGATATATACACAATGGAATATTACTCAGCCATAACAAAGAATGAAATCTTGCCATTTGCAACAACGTGGATGGATCTAGAGTTATAATGCTAAGTGAAACAAGTCAGTCAGAGAAAGACAAATGCCATATGATCTCACTCATATGTAGAATTTAAGAAACAAAACAAATGAACAAAGAGAAAAAAAAGACAAACCAAAAAACAGACTCTTAACTATAGAGAATAAACTGATGCTTACCAGAGGGGAGGTCTTGGGGGAAATAGGTGGACTAGATGAAGAGTACACTTATCATGATGAGAACTGAGTAATGTATAGAATTGTCAAATCACTGTATTATACATATGAAACTATTATAACACTGTATGTCAACTACTCTGGAATTAAAATATAAATAAATAAACAAACAAATAAATAAATAAATAAACAAATAAAGCTGAACCCAAAAAACCCACAATAAATTAGAAAAATAAATAAATAAATGGTAGTCTATCCTAGTAAAGGGCTTCTTTTTCTCTCATATAATGGATGTGGTGAGGGACAAATAAAGGACACACAATTTACACAAATATCAAAATGACTATTAGTCTTATAAAAAAATGTTCAATGCACACTAATCCAACAAAGGCATAGTAAAAAGAAATAACAATTTTCAACTACTAGAACAGTAGAAATTTCAAATCTCAAAGGGAGACTGATAGATAAGAATGTGGAAACACTCTCAGAGAATATTGACAGAAGTGCAACTGTGTGCAAGATGACCTGGAAATATCTCATCAAAATTTAAAACACGTGCTCCTTGATTCAGTAATTTCATTCCTACTAATGTCCATTATTTGTAATTATTTGCACTTCCACAACAACCAGATATAAATTGGAAATTATTTATATGTTCATCAGGAAATTATGGTACAGATATATAATGAAATGGCATGCAGTTTTAAAAAAAGAATGAAGCTGACTGAGTCATGCTGGTATGACACAGTCCTGGTATATTAAGTGAACTTAAAAAAACATAAGATGAAGAACAATATACATGGTATTACTATGTAAAAGTGAGTACGTATACATACATATATATATGTATATATAATTGTACATGCTTAGAAAATTCATGCAAAGAGGGGCGCCTGGGTAGCTCAGTCAGTTAAGCATCTGAGTCTTGGTTTTGGCTCAGGTGATGATCTTAAGCTGAAAGCACGGAGCCTGCCTGGGATTCTCTCTCTCCCTCTCTCTCTCTGCCTCTTCTCCGCTCTCTCTGTCTCTCAAAATAAATAAACTTTAAAAAAGAAGAAAATTCATGCAAAGAAACTTAAGACATTGTTAATAGTGATTGCTTTTGGAGAGTTGTACTGAAGGCTAGAAAACAGGGAAGGAATTTTTTTTACCTTTTACTCTACACCCCCCTACAAACTTTAATTAAAAATTTTTTTTTACCAGTTTTATAATTAAAAAATAGTTTACATGACATTTTAAAATGAATGTTACTGGAGGTTATGACATATAAACTCCAGTAGAGAGATATAAATAAACCTATAATTTACATGTTTTATAGCTCAACAATGATCTCTTCTTAAAATGACAACTTTTTGTATCTATTTATAAATGCTTATTATAAGACAAGACTGAAAAAGGATAGTCACTGACAGAGGACACAATTTCAAGAAGTATACAGACTTTAAGATCACACTTAGGTAACAAAGTCACTAAGAGGTTCTTTTGCTTTTTACAGTCATCCTAAAATGACAGCAGTTGCTATGTCAGAAGGAAATACAGGTCTCAATACCAATCTATTCCATGAGCCATGACATTAAGTAGGACCACAACAACCGTTCACAGAAACCAGAGTACAGCCAGTCTCTTAAGCCCTTATGAAGCACTGTGCTTAAACAACTTGGCAGGTCTGTTTAAGGACGTATTGACAATTAAATGAAGTCAGAAGGCAGATAACACTAGGTGGAGGGCAGAAATCAATTTTAATCACCCAACAGTTCCATAAGAACTCAGAGACTCTTGGGAGTTTTGGGGAACCTGACACAAGAAAATATTCACAACTCAGAAGAAAAAAAATCGCTTATCAGGTCATGTCCCAGTTTATAGTTTGGAAACAGTCTAGAGATCTCATCCAGTAGCTTCATTTTACTTGTTGGAGTGCAATGGATAAAACCAGAGTGATAGGAAGTCCCCTGAACACCATAAGCCCAGATTTCAGTTCAGATCTTGTTTTAAATAGCCTTCAACATCACTGTTAAGCCATTCTTTTTTTCTCTCCTTTGTTTTTTTTTAATAACTTTCTAAAATGGGAGAAAATTTATGATTCTTGTTGATGATTGCCTGCTTTATTATTCCAAAGCACATAACTTTGTAGAAAAGACTCTCAAGGATTTAACATCTCAAGTCATCAAGTATATATATGTAGATGAAGAACAGAAAACATTGAAGGTACTCAAGTAATAAAAAACCTTTAAACACCTAGAGCAATTTATGTCCTGATGGATATCTATCCAGGGATGGAGCACTGTAATTAGGGCACCAAATGGAGTTGAGCATGCCAGATCAGCTTGCAGTAATGTAATCTATACTAGTGTATATTCTGGCACTTTGTTTCACATTTAAAAGTGGATCTCCCTCCATCCCTGACCTCTATGTCATTAAGGAAGAAAAGGAGGGATAATGTGTTTT